TGAAGCAATTGAAGTTAGCTAATTGGACCGCTGCCCCAATCTTGTACAATTTAAAGCGCGAAATTCAAACAGGAAATTTAATCTACAAAAATTATGAAGTATATTTGTTCAAAGTTAATAAATTTGCTTGAAAATATATTTTTCCGGTTAAAATTGTTTATTATTTTAGCTCATTAATAATATTTGATTTCAATTTCGTACTTAAAACGAGCTGAAAATATAAATTATATACCATAAGCTTTTATAATACAATAATAATTTATGCAGTTATTGAAGACTCAAATACAATTTTAATTGCCAGAACATAATTATTACTAATTAAATTAATAACATTAACTTGATTACTATCAATTACATTTTAAATCTAAATAAATAAATGGACATATATTGCATTGCATAGCACATCATTCTATAAAGACCATTTACATGAAGTACTTGACTTGATTTGATAAAAAGACAATACAAAGAATATCATATGTAACTAAAGCTAGTCTTTAAACATTTACACTGTCGTTTCACTTCTTCTCAAAGATACAAAGGCAACTTGCTTTTTACATCATTATAATATTCATTCTCAGATGTTTCATCTTCCTTATTACTTATTCAAGTTGTCGACAGATTGTTTCAAATCTATATCATCAATAGGTGTGAAATGGTAACTATGGAACTGTAAAAGGTCCAGTTAAAGGTACTCCTAAAGTCTGCGTTGGAAGTGGTTCACTGCAAGGATTGAACTTAAGATACTCAGGATAATTGATAAACAAGAATGATGTTCAGGGTAAAAAACTTGAAACCTCCTATAATGAAAAAAATGACTTGTAATAATAAAATAATAATTTGTATTAGTACTAAGAATATTATTGCTGGCACAGACAACTTTAATTTGCCTTAAAGTTTATTTATCAAAATATAATTGAAATGTATTTAAAACTTATTTTATATCATTATATTGCTCATGCTCAGATATTTCATCTTCCTTAATTGTGCTTCGTAGGTTAGTTCCAGTTAAAGGTACTCCTATAGGCTGCATTTGAGGCGATCCATCGTAAGTTCTGGATAGACACATCGTTCTGGATTCTTGGAATTTCCTATAGCGAAAATATTTAGGTTGTAATAATGAATAATGATATGTTATATAACTAGTAATAGTAATATATATTACTAGCTAAATTAATTAAATAATAAACTATATCATATAATAAAGTATCATCATATGAAAGTAATAGTCAAACCATTCTTATTTTTGGTGGTAAAGTTCTTATAAATTACTTTATTATTATGAAAAATTATATTAATTCTGATCATTCAGTATCAAATTACTTAAATGCTTGTAATTATACTATTTTAAATATTAAATATTTAAAGAATATATTTATTTTTATAATGTTAAAATATTAAATATTTTACATTTGCTTTTTGTGTATGAAGTTATATCTACTTTCCTTTCTTAGTTTTACGATTTATCTATTGTATTTGTAGGTATCATAAGGAAAAATATATGGTTACTATCTGATCTTTTATCTGCATGTGATGAAAAATATTCACATTTCCACAAGATTGTATAAATATATTTAGAAGCTTGAAGTTTTCTTCTCTCATAATATAATTCTTCATTCTTATTTTGCAGTACATGCACAAAATCATAGTTACCTACATTTATATTTCTAAAGGTTTCAGCATTTGTAAATCAGCATAAATGCATACTATTAATATATGTATCAGAACTTGCCTTATTATCTCTGAAGTACAGGGACAATCCTGTTACCATCACAAACAATTATTTTTCTCCAAAGTATGTATACTTGCAACAGTGAAAAAATCCATAACACTATAAAATAGAAATTCAGTGAAAATATTGTTAATAATTAAATACTTGTTTGTAAAACATACATATTATATGCACTATATAAAGTTCTTATTTTTAATCTCAATTCATTCTAAAAGCATAAATAGAAACTAGTATGTATATTATTCAAAGCACATTAATAATTATCAATTCATCGACAATTAATTAAAACTCAGTATTGCTTTTCTTCAAAGTACTTTTGAAAGGACAAAGAATTCATTTTTCATTATAAAAAGAATTGTAAGTATAAGTCTGATTCAATAAAGAATTTATCTATAGAATGACTTACAGTGAATTCACTCATTTCATTTGATTCAACTACATTCACATGAAATTCTAATAGATTTACGTGGTATTTTCTTATAATTAGATTATTGTGAGCAAAATGTACTTTTGTACAGAATTGTGTTTCTTACATAAAGAAATATGCATATCTCAATATTTTTTAATTCATTTCATTTAAAAATATTGATGTTTTATGTAACTACAACTAAAGTTTAATATACTGACATTACTACTTTGATTTATCACTTTATTCTATTCTATTATCACATGACTTGACAAATTCATCGGAATTGTAGTTCGATATTTAAGTTTTCATATGAATAAAATTAAACTTCCTAAAACTATTATATATAATAGTATATAAATTGTTACAAAACTTACTCGATCTTCTATTCATCATCTCTGTTTTTCTGTTTAATGTATATTTCTGGGAAGACAGTTAAATACAACAAAATGGTATCTAGTGTATGCCTCTACATAAATTCATCAATAATATATTTCATTTAATATTTTCTTCCTTGTTTCCTTACAAGTTATAAGCGCCTGTGAAAAGAATATAGATTCATTACAAGAAACACTAGATAGTGATAATTTTTACTAGATAACTACATGTAACAATGTAACAATTTAATTAAAAGTTTAATTTTAATAATTAACATAGAAATAAGTTTTAATAATAATCATAAAAACAGGAATTGATATAAAAAATATAATATATAATAGCCACATGACATTCCATTTGAAATATAATAATCGTAATGATAATCAATTTGTACTTACATTGAGGTTATTTGAATTCATTATAGTCACACCACACATTGTGCGCGAATAATATTACACTTTCATATATATATTCTGACGTTTCTGTTCGCCTGATACTTCGAAGCGATTACAGGAGCATTTTCGTAGAAGTAACGAGAATTGTCCGCCATTTATATATTTGGAGCTGTCAAAACGAGGCAACCAATCAGAAAGCAGGACTACATTTAACAAGAAACCAGGGCCGCACTTTGAACATCTTTATATGTCGAATAAAACAAATATGTAAATTATTTTAAAAAGTCGGAAAAACACATTATTATAATATTTGCACTAATTATAATATTACTTATATATGTAATTTTACTTTAAGAATATACTATGTGTATAGTTTATAAACTTTAATAACAAAATAAATTTTGTTTCACATTATTTAACTAATTACAAAGAAACGTCTTGGCCGATCTTTACTAAAAACTAAAAACTATGATTTCCCAAAAATATCTTTCGAGTGGTTTATTAATTTATAAATTCGATTTAAGGATTTTAGAAAAAAACTGGGCAAAAGTTTTTGTACATTTACACTAATTTTAGTGAAACGGCTTGACCGATCATTGCAAAAAACTAATCGGGTAGAGTACTCATGAAGCCACATCCAATGCTTTTTAAATTTTCAAAATCGGTACAGCCGTTCTTCTGAAAACGTTAACGAAAGGTCGAAAATTGTAGTACGTACACACAAATAACTACATTTTGCAATTATCAGCTACATTATGCACATTTACTACTTTTTTCAATGTTTATATAATAATATTAATGTTAAAAAACCATTCCCAACACCAAAACCTATCAAAATATCCCAAAACAATAAATTGCATTTTTAATTTTAAAAATAATTACCCCTAACATTTCAGCAGCCGGCCCTGTGAAATACGAGCGAAATTTGATTGAAAAATGTGTCTGCTACCCTAATAGATCGGCCGAAAAATTCGTATGAAAATGTATGAAACGTATGAAGAGTACGCGAGCTCTATAGACCGCGCGAATAGTACTATACTATAATATATATATTCTGAGCGTGTCTGTTCGCCTGATACTTCGAAACGATTACAGACCCAGTTTACTATGAAATTTTCGATCTTTCGATGTCGGCTCTTTCTATCATTGCGAAAGTATCTTTTTCGATGTCGGCTCTTCCTCATTGAACGTATCTTATATTAGTATCATATAAAATAAAATGGATGGATCTTTATGTATGATTGTAATTAAGTAAATAAAATTAATTATAGAGCTATTAATTATTGTTTGTCAAATTATTTATGGTTTTTAATTATTGTTTGCCAAAAGCAACCTGAAAAATTCTATAAATTATATGTTTAAAAAAAATTAAATTAAATTACTTAAATATTTATTTATATAATTACAATTATTAATATTATATAATTTATATAATTACAATTAATAAGTTTTAAATATATATTATTTAATGATAATAATATAATAATTCATTATATGATACATAATAATTATATACATTCATATATCTAATTCCATTATTACTGCAAGGAGTTTTTAAGTCTGATAATGTACAATTCAATATATACATTTATATATCCATTTCCCATATAAACTAAGGCGGCTAGGCCATATATAGTCATGTATAAATCAATATATACATTTATATATTCAATTTCCATACAAACTAAGTCAGCTTATTCATATATAATGATGGAAAAATCAATATATACGTTTCTATATCCATTTCCCATGCAAATTAAGGCGTATATATCATATATAATGATGGAAAAATCGATATATAAATTTATATATCCAATTCCCATACAAACCAAGCCTAGCTATCCCATATATAATGATGGAAAAAACAGTATATAAATCAGTGGATCTGTGGCTTATGAATCTTATTGGATTCCTATTCACGCAAGAACTGTCAAACGTTTCACGTTAGTTCCTCGCAAAGTGGGAACGATTCTGCATAGAGGCGCTGCATGCAATCCCTTCTATGAATCTAGAAATCTTATTGGATTTCTTTATACGCTTTTATATGGATTCTATCATTGCGAAAGGATAGGATTTTTGAATAAATTAATTTAAAAAATTATTAATAAACGATTTTTGAATAAATTAATGAGTATCATATAAAATAAAATGGATATATCTGTACGTAAATGGATATTTATGTATGATTGTAATTAAGTAAATATAATTAATTATTGTTTGCCAAAAGCAACCTGAAAAATTCTGTAAATTACACGTTATATGTTTAACAAAAATCTAATTAAATTAATTAAATATTTATTTATATAATTACAAAATATTACAAATATACTCACATGTAATGTTTTAAATATATATTATTTAATGATAATAATATAATAATTCATTATATGATACATAATAATTATATACATTTATATATCTTATTTCATTATTACTGCACAGAGTTTTTAAGTGTAATAATGTACAATTTAAAATATACATTTATATATCCATTTCCCATACAAACTAAGGCAGCATAAAATATTCCTGAAAAATTAAAACACACACAATGAAACAACAATCTTTATATAAACTCCATATATTTTTAAAATAACACCCAGCACACAACAGTATCTTTGAATTGCTTATTATTATGTATTATAATTTGTAGTTTATGTACCTTAATAATATAAACGTATATTAATTAAACAAATCTAACTTAAATTAATTATATGTAAATGATTTCCATAAAAATAAATATTTTACAAATGGGCCTGCCAGATAGCATTTTTGCTCTAGATAAATAGTTCAAGAGCTGTAATTGACATATTATATATAGGAAAAGAATATACTAATTAAATTCTTTAAAGAATACAAATTCTTGAATTTTAGGTGTATCTTAATATTCACAACACTTATATATATAAATAACAAGAGGAAGAGACACATAGATGTATATATTAAAGAGAGAAATTTATAATATTCATTAGATATTAATAAACACCATTAGTGCAGGTGATATTATATATGTTATACGTTTTTGAACTTATCAAAATGTTCTATACATGTTTCTATTACTAGAATCGTTAGAAATAACGATCTAATTTATAAAATTAAAATTGAATAAAAAGCATAAAATGAATGAAATATTTTACAAATTCTTAGAAGTAAATAATTTCTTATTTTTTGCTACTATATAAATATAAAAGTATTTAAAAAATACTATAGCCGTAAAAATATAAAATGGCATTACACAAATCAACATTTTCGTTCTGTGCTTATTGATAATATTAATAAGTATTGCTAACATTATATTAACTATACACATACAATAGCACCATATTAATGTTTCAATCACAATTGCTTTTATATATCATTCCCTTTCTTGTAAATTCTTTCCATTTTTTTTGTAATGAGCATACAAATAAAAAAAATATGATTAGAAATTGTGAGATAATAAGATAATAAATATGATATAAATGAAAATTGCACTTGATTCTAAAGCATTCGAACTCTTAAAATAAATATAAATAAAACCAGACATGTTAATCTAACTACAATATAGGTATTAATGTGTAAAAAATTCTTATTTTTATAAAGGTATTGATCAGTACATTTTATAGTGTCCAGTAGAATCTCCTGATCAAATCAAAGCATGGAAAATTATTTGCATTTTTAATTATCTCTTTTAAGAAAACAATACAATAAATAAGTGGTTGTATTATTTTCTGAAAATAAATAATACTTGATTTACATAAAAATTATATATCTAAAATATCATATGAATAATTTCTTTTTTTAAAAAAAGACTATCTGATTTTCAAATGAATTACTTTTAAGAATAAGGCACATTTATCTGTAATTCAAATTAATTTTACAAAAACATTTCAACTACATAATTTTTCGTTTAATAAATTGAAAAAAAGGCACGATCACCTAACATACTTTTGGATTATTAAACCTTTATTCCATCAAAATTTCAATCTTTTCCTTATTGTAATGTTTGGTTATTTTCATAAAAGAATTTAGATAACACTTAAGAAAAAATATTGCTGATCAGAACTGAATAAGCCTAATGCGAGGACTCAGATAATTTTGAGAGTATTATTTAATACAACATCAATGAAGTATAGAACATCAAAATTTCAACACGTTAAAATATTACAGTTCAAGTTCTATATTTAACTATCATTAGTAATAGTTAAATTTCATACAAATGATCACATTCTAATAATTATTAACAATGGACATTTATAGTTTTGTAAAGTTATATTAAATCTAAAATTTGTTCTAAAGATTTGAGCAGCGCTTAATAACTTTGGAATTTGCATAACAATACCAATTTTCATAATATTGCTATCAAAATAGTTATATTACAATGAAAAATTATAACTTTACTCTTGTTTGTTAATAACATTTGGTCAGGCAGTCATATATTTGATTAAGAATATCTGCATTTTATAAAATCCTTACAATTTTACATAGCTAATAAAATCTTCAACATGAATATCATTTTTAATTCAACTTAAGTCCATTGAACATTTGAGCGTAAAGTTTTCCTTCTAACAATTTAAAATTTATTTAATTGCAAAGTATAACTAATGTTACATTTAAAAAAGAAAGTATATTCCAAAGTTATAAGCTCATGATTACTCCACAAGAAAAGTACATCGAAATATATAGCTACATTATTCATGAGAACAAAATGCGCATTAATAAATATTGAGTAACATATGCACAATATATCCCTCTATTTACACTTATAATTCTTTTGTTTAATTTTTAAGTCTATACCCCTCCATTAACAACGGGCAATTTCCTCGCATTTAGATGCCCGCTGTACGAGATTCTGTACAATTTTCAAAACCCTTATAAAACTATTTTAGGAACATTTAGAATACACTTAGATAAATTGTTTTTTGTAACTGGCAGAAATAAAAAATCGGTTGAATTTATTTTTGTTTGCAATATTTCATTACCGATGTTCTATTTTGTAATAAGTCTTATCAAAATTTGTGAAACGGTTTTTAATATTTAATATCTCAAAAATATTGTTCTAAAATATTTGATACTCTATGTCACGAGCGAATTGAAACCAGTCTAAATTGTTATTGCTTCATTGATTTTTTGCTAAAAGATTTAGAAAAAG